GCTCCGTCTTCCCTAGGAACGTGTACAAGGATCTCCGTCAGATCGAGCTGGCCTGTGATTCCCAGGAAGACGTGGACAGCTGGAAAGCCTCCTTCCTCCGAGCGGGAGTTTACCCAGAGAAAGACCAAGTAAACATTCCCTCGCGTTTGTCCGAGCCCTCCCGGAGCGGGCTGACCCCGGGGGGAGGCTGCCGGAGGACTTGGGAACCCCGGATTTGGGGTCTGTGGCAGTAGGTTCTCGGATACCTTGGAAAAAACGCCGTGGTATCGCGGGAGGGGACGACGTTTCTAACGCGGCGCTGGTTTGCGCTGGCCTGGCGGCCGATGGACCTGGTGGTGCCGGGCTACGGAATTAAACTCCCTGGTGGTGGCCGGGCTACGGAATTAAACTCCCTGGTGGTGGCCGGGCTACGGAATTAAACTCCCCTCTTTCCAAAACCAGCCGCCTAGGATGGAAATAGGTGGATAGGGATGGGGAATAAGCACGGAGCGGTTCTTTCCGGGTCTGTAACTTGCGCCCTGCTTTTTCCCTGCGCAGACGGAGAGCGAGGACGGCGCCCAGGAGAACACCTTCTCCATGGACCCTCAGCTGGAGCGCCAGGTGGAGACCATCCGCAACCTCGTCGACTCCTACGTCGGCATCATCAACAAGTCCATCCGGGACCTCATGCCAAAGACCATAATGCACCTCATGATCAACAATGTGAGTGGCTGCGCCGGGGGCGGAGGGAAGGCGGCCTCCGGGGACGCCCATTTCGGGGTTCTCCGGGCGGCAGAGGAGTCCCAGGCCCCCCTCGGCATCAGGAGTTGGGTGGGACGGAGCCCAAGAGCGGGATTTGAGCGTTGGATCCCTAATTTTGATGTCGGAATCAGGAGTTGGGTGGGCCACGGGATTTGAGCTTTGGATCCCTAATTTTGGTGTCGGCATCGGGAGTCGGGTGGGCTGTGACACCGAGACAGAGCCCAAGAGCGGGATTTGAGCTTTGGATCCCTCATTTTGGTGTTGGCATCGGGAGTTGGGTGGGCCGCGGTGCTGAGCCGGATCCCAAGAGCGGGATTTGAGCTTTGGATCCCTCATTTTGATGTCAGTGTTGGGAGTCGGGTGGGTTGCAATGCCGAGCCAGAGTCCAACAGCAGGATTTGAGCTTTGGATCCCATCAATGGGATTTGAGCTTTGGATCCCTCATTTTGATGTCGGTGTTGGGAGTCGGGTGGGCTGCGAAGCTGAGCCAGAGCCTGAGTGGGATTTGAGCTTTGGATCCCTCATTTTGATGTCAGTGTTGGGAGTCGGGTGGGTTGCAATGCCGAGCCAGAGTCCAACAGCAGGATTTGAGCTTTGGATCCCTCATTTTGATGTCAGTGTTGGGAGTCGGGTGGGTTGCAATGCCGAGCCAGAGTCCAACAGCAGGATTTGAGCTTTGGATCCTTAATTTTGATGTTGACGTTGGGAGTTGGGTGGGCTGTGAAGATGAGCCGGATCCCAAGAGCGGGATTTGAGCTTTGGATCCTTAATTTTGATGTTGACGTTGGGAGTTGGGTGGGCTGCTGGATTTGAGCTTTGGATCCATCATTTTGATGTCGGTGTTGGGAGTCGGGTGGGCTGCAAAGCTGAGCCGGAGCCCAAGAGTGGGGTTTGAGCTTTGGATCCTTCATTTTGGTGTTGGCATTGGGAGTCACTGAGCCAGATCCCAACAGCGGGATTTGAGCTTTGGATCCTTCATTTTGATGTCGGTGTTGGGAGTCGGGTGGGCCGTGGTGCCAAGCCGGATCCCAAGAGCGGGATTTGAGCTTTGGATCCCAACAGCAGGATCTGAGCTTTGGATCCCTCATTTTGATGTCGGTGTTGGGAGTCGGGTGGGCCGTGGTGCCAAGCCGGATCCCAAGAGCGGGATTTGAGCTTTGGATCCCAACAGCAGGATCTGAGCTTTGGATCCCTCATTTTGATGTCGGTGTTGGGAGTCGGGTGGGCTGCAAAGCTGAGCCGGAGCCCAAGTGGGATTTGAGCTTTGGATCCCTCATTTTGATGTCGGTGTCGGGAGTCGGGTGGACCGTGGTGCCGAGCTGGATCCCAAGAGTGGGATTTGAGCTTTGGATCCCTCATTTTGATGTCGGTGTTGGGAGTCGGGTGGGCCGCGGTGCCGAGCTGGAGCCCAAGAGCGGGATTTGAGCTTTGGATCCCTAATTTTGATGTTGGCGTTGGGAGTCGGATGGGTTGCAATGCCAAGCCAGAGTCCAACAGCGGGATTTGAGCTTTGGATCCCTAATTTTGATGTCGGTGTCGGGAGCTGGGTGGGCTGCAAAGCCGAGCCGGAGCCCAAGTGGGATTTGAGCTTTGGA